GGGTCTTTTTAATTAATAACTCCATAGGCAAATGTGCACAGAACTTGAAAAACTTCTGATCTCTAACCTAGGTCACATTCACTAAGAACTCAATTTATCCTTTCTGAAAACAACCATATTTTTCTTTGCCACTCACCACAGGATCCCATTAAAATACAAATCAAAAAATCTTAGAAACTCTTGGAATCCATAGCACCAGACCCAGACCTGTGAACAGCAGCAACTCGTTTCTCCACAGTACCAGCAGAGATTTAATCTCCCCGTGGACCTCAGCATCGTCTCGGGGTCTCTGCACACCTCACTGTTTATTTGAGAACAAACAAGCACTCTTGGAATCCATAGCACCAGACCCAGACCTGTGAACAGCAGCAACTCATTTCTCCACAGTACCAGCAGAGATTTAATCTCCCCGTGGACCTCAGCATTGTCTCGGGGTCTCTGCACACCTCACTGTTTATTTGGGAACAAACCAGTCGGAAGACCTTTGCACCCCTCTGCTGAAACAATCAGTTTACTCATCACCACACAGAATTAGAAAAGAGAAATAATATGCCCGGGACTTGAAACACTGGATCTACAGACAAAAGTTGTGGAAGAGAAACAACAGGAAAGCAAACCCCCAGGATTGCACGCTGCATGGCAGAGGTCGGGAGGAAGCAGGCAACTGCCCTCTTGCTGTGGATGCGGCTTTCAACTCATTCTAAAACAGCAGCAAGAGCAAGGCTGGTCCTCCACCATTTGTGAAAGAATGTGGCAGAGACTAATTACATTATATTCTGTTGTCCTTAGTTCCCTTACAGCAGTGGTTTTCAACCTGTGGGTCATGATCCCTTTCACAAACCTCTGTCTCCAAAAATATCATAATTCATAACAGAAGCAAAATTATAGCTACGAAGTGACAATGAAAATAATTTTATGGTTGTGGTCACCACAACATGAGGAACTGTACTAAAGGGTCACAGCACTAGGAAGGTGGAGAAGCACTACCTCAGACTATTCTTATTTTGAAAAAGGTGCTTAAAATTTCATATCCTACATGAAAGGTGACTTTTTAATATATTAATTTTCCCCAGTATGGTTACAGTGAATAAATAAATGTAGTAACTTATCTTTTCTACTTCATCATAGTTAGTTATTCATACAATTTTCACTTGAATTCTCTCTGACCTTGAACCCACTCAGTGGAAAAGAAGGCCTGGGTAATTGAGCAAAGTTGAAAACTCATAAATACCAGAGGTGTGAAGCAAAACCAGGCTTTCTGTCTCAGTGTATCGTAAGAAGAGTCCTAGAGGGAATCCATCCCATGTGCTTCAGCATATTTTCATATTCCCTTTCCATGACTTATACTAGCTCTCAACATCAGGCTGAACATTTTAAAGTACAGTGGATATAAAATTTTCTAGAGACTATTTACTGTCCGTGGTTGTGCTACCCCACACCAGGGTGAGAGTAAACTTGTAACCTGAAATAACCTATCATTTGGAAGGCCATCAGAACCGAGAAGTGGAATACAGCTGCAACAGGAAATGAAATTCCAATTACTTAGTCTGAAGAAAGAGTTGATTCATTCTCTGACGCATTTGTTGAAGTACATGAGAAGTAAATCTTAAAACAATGACTGAGAGATATTGCCTCTGAGTAGATGACAATATTACGGTTTCAGAAATTTAGGTTAAACAAGGATATCTCAGTTGTGATCTGGGTTATGGGGAAAGATGCTGTATGTAACAGGGGTGACCTCAGAGACCTCATAAAGTCATGGGATATAAGAATGAGACTCTTGGACACTTAAGTAATGTTGCCTTCGTAATGTTCCTAGGCCCCAAATTAAAATGCCCAGAGACTATGGCAATTAGCACAACAACCTCTTACTTGAAGTTTAAAAGTCTGAAATTCTGTATCCCTTTCTTTGGTAGCAGGAGCAAAGGAACAAAGTGTTGGTGTCCATGGTGCTCTTTGCAAATCCACAATGTGTTTTGGGATTGTTTCACACATATTAAAATACTTGTGAGCCTTTAAACTGACTACCTTTTTGATAATAAGACCATCAAGTAAAAATTTATTTTAACTATCTTGGGGAGCTAGGAAATAGACATGCTTTGAGAGATGACAGTTCCACAGAGTTAACATTTCTCTTTTTGTTAACACTGATACATTTCGAGGTGGAAAGAGTCCTTGAGGGTGTCATATACAGTCAGCGCATGATTATGTTTGTAAAAAAAATCCTGAAAATATGTATTTCACAGTCGTTTAGACTGTGGATGCATGGTGGATTTGGGATCTATAAACCAAGACAGAGAAGACTTGGTCCAAAGGGGCATAAGTTCTTGGCAATAAACAGTGACACCTTAGATATAATCTTTTTTAAAATAAAAAAATTTAGGTGAACTAAAAATGTGCCAAAGTTCCTTTCTTTTTCACAGTGAATGAATAATGTTTTCTTTCTTAATAAAAAAAAAAAACTTGGTAACCTTTCACTTTTCAGAATACATGCTATAACCACAAGAAACCGAGTTAAGATGTCTCCAAAATATTCTCCTACGCTCTAAACTTAGGAGTAGCTATTGCTGAAGATGAAGTGAGAGTGGACTTTAATTCCTGGCAGGGTGTCTGAGTGGCAAGGTTATCTGTGGCATGTGACAGCCCTGGCACAGGATCAAAGTGATCTCCCACAGAATGTCCTGAGGATCACTCTCTTTCAGTGAGTGCTCTGAAGATTCATGGCTGCTAGGCTCTTCCCCAGTCTTACACTGCCCAGTCTTACACACTGCTGGTTCTCCCAATCTTACACTGCTAGCTTCTTCTGGTAAACTTCAACACCATTTTGAATTCCTCACTGTGTATCTCTGTGTGAAGAGAAAAACATTCAGAGGGGCTCTTTATTTGGAAAATAAGTTTTCTAAAACAGACTGCCATATCAGCATGTTTATGTAGCATCTGTGTGTGTGTGCGTGCGTGCGTGCGTGCGTGCGTGTGTGTGTGTGTGTGTGTGTGTGTGTGTGTGTGTGTGTGTGTGTATTTATGCTATGTTGCCAACTTTTCATGATCAGCAAAGGCATCACTTGGTTGAGACGTGAGTAAACATCACAGTATATGATGACCACAAAAAGATAGGAAAATACAAAGGAGAGAGAGACAACACACACAGAAAGAGAATTACAACAATCAATTTAAAACCCAAATAGATAGGCACATATGAGAAGTATATTTTGAGATCTACCATCTAATTCCCCTAAAACTTATGCAGACTGCCTAAAACATGCACAACCACAACAGAATGAATCTCAGTCTCCCTTTAAATGGACAACAGCCCCAACGGGGGGGGGGGGCCCCCATGCACAACCACAACAGAATGAATCTCAGTCTCCCTTTAAATGGACAACAACCCCAACGGGGGTGGGGGGGGCAAAAAACTGATAATCTCATGTAGGCTAAAAACAGCTTAAGCCTTCTCTTCAGAAGAACCACAGTCATCATGGCGGCTGGGGAGATAGCTCAGCCAGTGCAGTGCCTGGTGCACTTGTAACCACCACGCTGGAGAAACAGAGAGAGATGGATCCCAGCACCTCACCAGCTAGCCAGCCTGGCCTATGGGCAATCCCAGATCAATGAGAGAACCTGTCTCAAAAGAAAAAAAAAAGTTGACTCCACCTGAGAAATAACACCCCAAGTTGTCTCTTGGTCTCCACATACACACATATGCAAGCATGTACACACTCTGCACATGTGTATACACACACACACAAACACACACACAAACACACACACACACACACACACACACACAGATTACAAACACCATAAAATATTACAGTGACATTTAATTTAAATGGCACACTTTGGCTCCATCATAGTGAAAAGCATTAATTAGTAATGAAAGAAAGGGAAAGGGGTGAGAGACATTGTGAATGCACAGGAGGTTAAATATACGTGAGTACACGCAAAGCAGACAGCACAACCATGCCAATGGTAGTCTCCCTCACTCTTACTTTCCTTTCCATAGCCTGTCTCCACAGGTGGTTTTACCGTCTGCTCAGTCCCTGTGAAGAGCTAGGACTCTCCATGCTACACCAGCTAACAGCCTGTGTGAGGGGCAGATGATCAGCCTCTCATCTGTCTCCCTGATGTAACCCTCCAGCTGTCAGTCCACACCCTGCCTCCTGTAACTGTGAAGCCTCTCTTCCCTCATTTGCTTTGTCCAATTTCACTCAACAGTCCGTGAATGTTCCATGTAAAAAATCTGACCCCTTCACTCCGTCATTAGAACAGTCTACACAAATCCCATTCCACTCCCTGGCATAGGACCCCAGGCAACTACCAGGATTGTCTTTCTCACTAGACTAAACCTTTTTGTTTTATCTTTGTGAGCCCAATATCTAACATGGTTTGTCACCCCTAAGGATGCTCAAAAGTATTCACTTAATGAATGAACAGTTAGGTTAAAAGTTAAATAGCATTAGACATAGTCAGTTTCCCACTTTTGAACACTACCAAGTAAAGCCAAATATGTTAGGAGAATTCCCACGGTGAATAAGATCTGTGATTTGCTGCCTGACTTTTGTGAGAGTCCTCCCATCTCTACACATTCCCTCCTACTTGCCCAACCACATTGACTCTTCACACAGCTTTCTGTGCTACACATCAATCAGCATGGATGGACCTTAAACAGCCAGCTCTTTTTATCGGTTGGATTTCCTAAAAAGATGGCCTAGGGTTGAATGCCACCTTAAAAGGTCTACTAAAAGAAGAGAATTGAGGCGGGAGAGATGGCTCAGGGTTAGTAGCAGTCATTGCTCTTGCAGAGGATCCAGGTCTGATTCCCAGCACACACATGGTGGCTCACAACCAACTGCAGTTCCAGGTCTGGGGAATCCAATGCCCTCTTCTGACCTAAGTGAGCACCTGGTATGGACCCAGTACACAATACACACATGAAGGCAAAACACTCATCCACATAAAACAAGTAAATCGTAAAACAGATAATAACTTATGTGACTTACTGAACACATCTCCTCTGGGTTTCTGAGGATCCGTCTGTATCCCATTGTCAACCGTAGTCACTCGAGCAGCTGTACTGGTAGCAGGTGCTATAGTTGTCGGTCTGGAGGATGGCCTTTCTGGGGTCGGTGGTAGTGGGGTTGTTTTGAGCTCTGTTGGGAGGGGTGGTGGGGGTGGTGGAGTAGGCTGTGGCGTTGGATTTGGTGTAGGTCTTGTTGTTGGCCTATAAGTAGGCCTGATGGTAATGACAGGAGGAATATATGGTGTCTTCAGGGGCCACCTAGTACTTCCAGCATCAGGAATCCTATTAACATGTCCTCCATCACCCTTTACGGTTGTAACATTTCTCTCTGGCACATGAACTGGACCTGAAGGCTCAATCATGACCTTGGGGATATCTGGAGAACAATTCAAAGATTAAATAAGTATGAAAATATTCCTCTCTAAAAAAGTACAACAGGAAACTGCAAACATACACATGCACAGAAACCCCTCATGCTAACTAGTCCTATTTTTCACATTTACCATATTCCTGTCTATAAGAAGTCACACTGTTTTCTGAATAACAAGTAGAAACTGCAAACATACACATGCACAGAAACCCCTCATGCTAACTAGTCCTGTTTTTCACATTTACCATATTCTTGTCTATAAGAAGTCACACTGTTTTCTGAATAACAAGTGTGTGCGTCTTTTAGGATACATGCAAAAATATATTGGTGTTTCTACAGTGAATATGTATTATTTGAAACACGGAAATGTTTTCAATATTTCTAAAGCAAGAGTAACAGAAATCAGTATTTTTCCAAATGTGGAAAGATTACATTTTTGTGAGAAATGCAGTCTGTGTAGTGTTTCTCTCCTGCATGTATTATGCAACCATGCTTAAAACTCTACAAACTAGGCAGATTCTTCCTCACCTATACTTTAGATGGATTTTACTTGTGTTAGTTTTATACTTGGATTTTCTTCATATTTACTAATTTACATTTGCTTTCTAAAAAAGAGATTTTCTGAAGTTAAAAAAATCATCTATGGAATATTTCCCATTGATAATCTTTACTAAAAGGAATCAATATTTAATCTGCCTGGAATGATATATTCTAGAGTAGGAACGACTACCACAACACTTCAAAAACCCTTTAATCCACAGGATTTTATGCCTTGTGGTTTTTCAGTAAATATTTTACTCAGGGAATTTTTAAAAATTATCTATGTTACATGAAATGTGCGGCAAATTATGGCCTTTGGCTTCTCAGGCTTTCATCTTCAAGAGCATGCATTTTTCATGTTTGTCTAGCAACCCACTACTCCAAAGTTAACTTAGAAAAATTTAAAAGCAAAGCAGTTTTAAATGTGGGGAAAATAAATACTGGAATTATTTTCAGTAGAAAACAAACATGTAGACTACATCCCAATTATCATAATGCAATGTTAACAATGGATGTTTATTTCAGATTCAACAAACTCCAATTCCCAGGAAGGACCCTGTCCTTTATTTCTAGCTGAAAGGAAGCAACTCCTAGACTGTAAATTCTAAGGCATTTAATGCTAGAAAGCAGTCGTGAGTCTTTTTCTAAGTGATTTTTACTGTTTATAGATCAGGTTGATGTTACTAGGTATGAAAACCATGTCTTCAACAACCATTGTATCCCTCATCCTCCGTAGCATCCGTCTTTATGCAATCCCATATTTCCTGAAGAACCGAGAGCCAGGGGCAGGATTTACTCACACACACAGTTCAGTCCATCACCCTCGTATCCATCTTTGCATTTACACTTGTAGGACCCGTGCATGTTGTAACATCGAGCAGAGCTGCTGCACTGGTGCTGCCCGAGGGGGCCCCCCAGTCGCGTGGGGGGGGGGGGGGGGGGGGGAGACAGAAAAACACGTGGAGGTAAATGTGACGACATGAAATGTACACTGAGATCCACATAAAACGGCAATGAACAGAAGGGATACAGTACGGGTGGCTCAGATGGCTACTAGGTGAAGTAGACCCTGCTCACTTTATGCCTGTAGCCTCTCCTGTCCCAGATGGTCCAGTTATTACCACAGCTGGAGACTTGTCAATGCTACTGGAAGAAAGTATATACAGGAAAGCGACAGTTTCATTACCGTGACATTGATATTTGCCTCCAATGTACATGAGGTCAAAGCCAGTATGACACTTGCAGATGTAACTCCCAAATGTGTTGACACATTGCCTAAATCGGGGGCAGGAGACTCTTCCAGTAGCACACTCATCAATATCTAGAAACGTAAGTTAATTACATCTTAAGAAGAGCAAACACAGGCGTGTCATCATAACTGGTATCTCCACCCCGGCGGCTACCCCTGTAACAGACAGGAATTCCACATCTTCAGCTTTGAACTCATGCTCCCAAACCAAGCGTTTCCTCCCTCACGCCCAACATCAGTAGCTACTATGCTGTATCTACTTAGTTGCTTGACTTGGAAGCACACATGCTAAACCTTTCTCCACCAACCCCTGAACTACCGAGTCCTGTTATTTCTACCTCTAAAAACTTACTGGAACCTGCCTAGCGCCCTGCACTACCCCAGTCCTACCCACCACCTCCTGCTTTAGACCGAGACAGGAAGTCATGAAACTGGGAGTTTTGCTGCCAATCTTATCACCTTCAAATCACTTCACCTCTCAGCAGGTTCTTTAATTTTAAAAAAAAAATTTCTATGTATGGCTGTTTTGACTGCATACAGATATATGCACTGTGTGCATGCCTGGTGCCTGAGGAGGCCAGAGGGGCAAGGACACCCCAGAGCTGGAGTTACAGATGTTTGTGAGCTCTATTGTGAGTGCTGGGAATTCTGAAAGAGTAGCCAGCACTCTTCGCCGTCCACCTCTCCAGGCCCTGGGCAGGTTCTTTATAAACCAGGTTCTATATATGGCCCAGGTCTAACTTTAGGACTTCCCTAGTGGTTATTAATATTATTATTAATTATTATTCCCTACTGATTGTTTTCTAAGACAGATCCTTTCTGGTTTTGTTTTGCTTAGTAGTTATGCTACCATGGTTAGTGTTTTTATTATTTATTTTCTGTCTTCCCTTTAGACAGTCAACTTTGTGAGGACCAAAACCTCATGTGCTTTGTCTATTGCCATGCACCCAGCACTTAGCAGTATCTCAAATACAGCAACCACTTCGTAAATGGGTCACAGTGAATGGCTCCTCCGTGCAGGGCTCCCCACATGCTGGGGACTGCTGAGCTCTTCTGAGCTCTCTGAACACGTGCTCTCATTCAACATTCACAGTGACTCTACTTGGTGTTGTTTCCATTTTAAGGAAAGAGAGACCTAAGCTCAAAGAAAGGAAGCTCTTTTCCTAAGATTACATAGCGAGTGCGCAGCTCAGGCAGGTTCAGAAAGCCCAGACTCTGCCACAATCTTCACTGCCGTCTCAATGTTCTGGGAAAATGCTGTGGTACAAAACATGTGATAATGTAGACTCCGTGACATGAGCAGCTCCACGGCTCCCTCCTCTCTGGGTTACAGAAACTGAGACCCACTTTTCCTGAACACAGTACTGCTGTGCTTCAGTGTTTCTGCACACTTGGTTTCCGCTGTCTGATGCTTGCCCCTGTCCCTTTGCTTTCAAATACAAGATTGTGTTGATGCATTCATAGAAACCCTCTTCTAAAATACCTGATATCTTCCAGCAGGTAGCTCTGTATCTGACTAAACAGCTGCTTTTTCCCTTTTACCCTCCACTGTATTCCTCAATCCCACAAGATCTACTGGCAGAAGTTGGTGACTGAACTCACCCACACAGGTCCTCCCATCAGGAGCTAGCTGCAGACCAGGGGAAGGACACTG